AAGGGTGGGCTCTGGTTTCTCAGGCTTGACAATCTTCTCAACCGCAGCTTTTAGATCTTGCGGCAAGCTCTGTAAGTGCTCTTTGATGAGTGCCGGCAAATCCTGACGAGGAGGCGGGGCCACTGGTGGGACTCCAAGGGCTTCACATTGTGTCCGCAAAGCTTCTGGCAAAGTGTCCCAATGCTCTTGAACTGCCTTGCAAAGGGCCGTCTGCTTAGCCTTCTTTTGCTTTCGGCCTGCTTGGCCTCCATGTAGTCCTGGTGGTGCTTCCAGGAGAGCATTTTGGTATGTCTTCTGCGGCCATTGGGCTCCACCTTTTGGAAAGTTCCATGCTGCCCAGGTGACTCGTCTTCTGCGACGAAGATCTGGGAATTTGGAGCTCTGCCAGGGTGTTTGGCAATGAGTGCACTTGAGATCCGGCTTGGCAATGAGTCGATCATGCCAAATCCAGCTCTGCCGACAGCCTTTGCAGACCTCGTATGATCTCCTCATTGTCCTGCAGCTCGTGGTCAACAAGCTTGTAGGTGATCGTGCCCTTCTCTGCGGCAAGAGCGGTGGTCTTCTTCACGTAGTGTGCCAACCGTGGCGCGACCGCTCTTGAGCCGAGATCTTGAGCCATGTCTATATATATATAATATTATATATATATATATATGTATATACCACTCGCCCCAAAATCCACCAGAGCCACTGCAAATGTCAGCCGAGCATCGCTTCATTTCATCAAGGTCACCATCGGCTTGATTTGACAGTGCGGTGGCCACTGCAGCCACGCCGCTTTCCTCTGCTGCGGGGTACCATCTCATCCTCAGCCGGAGTCAAGCGCTGTGGGTGTCCTGATGTAAGTACAGCAATCATGCGCAACAGCTTAATTAGCTGGCAAGCCACGTTATCATACCGTATGATACCCAGCACTGAGATTGTGTGGGGCTACTATCGGGATGTCGACTTCCAGAATTCCTCACAATACTTCACACCGCTTGAGACCCTTCTGCTGCAAAGCCACTGTCGCCCTGTACGTGGGTCCACAGAATAGGGCGACCACCTCACCCCAGAACCTTAGGAAGAGAGGGTGACTACCTTGCAAGACTAAGGACCAGTAGTCACTACTTACTACTAGCTTCTAGCTACTAGTTACTAGTAGTAATACGTAGTAATGCACTTCTTTCTAGTAGCAGTAGTGGTCATTACTTTCAGTGAGGACCAGGGTGACCAGGGCTTCCTTTCAAATCTTTCAGCTTCGGTGCCAAGCTCTGAGGACACTTTCAAGGTGTGGATCGCCGGCGGCGTCTTGGCCATCTTCTCCGCTGTTGAGACTTTAAGAGAGCGGTGGATCAAAGCAGCCCCCCAGCCGCAGTACTTCACCCACTCCTAGGCTGTTTTGAGGACATGATTCAATGATCGGGATGCACTCTGAAAAATATATGGCACTTTGTCATATGCACATGCACGTAAATGTTTTTTGCATGCATGTCATGATTCATAAATGGTGGTGATCAAGAAGACGACTCCACGAACTGTCAACAATGAAGCTTTCCTTCAGGCCAGGAGTCCACGCAAACCTCGCCTTTGATCATGGAGCAAAAGGTATGGACAAGGTCCTCCCAAAACATTGGAACATCAAGAAGAAATAGTATTGTTCAAATTGCTTCCAATACTGTGCGAAGGGCTGCAAGGTGCCTTTGGTTTCTGATGTCATCTGCACTTTCTCATTCCCACCCGCTCGTCGCAAAGAAGTACCCTTGTGAAGTCTGGTAAAGTGCTAGTAAGGCACCTGTTACTAGTAGCGATGCACTTGTTACTAATGGCTTCTTGT